TTGAACTCACGACTGCCTGCTTGCAAGGCAGGTGCTTATGCCGCTGAACTAAACCTCCAGCCCTGATACACAGATTAAATGCTGCCTTGTCTCCTTGGTGTGAGTCCTCCTTCCAGTTTTTGCTTGGTTTGAGAATTTCCCTGCAACAATAAAAGGTACTTTAAAAATTTTTTTTTGCTTCAACTGGGTTTTATTGGTACAATTTAGATATACATAATGATCACATTCATTTTTAAAAACTGTCAGTAATAAAAGATCTTAACTTTAGATCTTAACTTTAGTTAATTCACTGAGGTGCACAAAAACACTGATTATGAATAAAGTAACAGTGAAAATTTCTATATTTTTAGCAAAAATGAGTGTATGTATTTCAATTATACTTAATGAAGATGGTGAATTTCATTAACTTATATAAACTCTTAACATGTATAAACTCTTAACTATAACTTATATATAAACTCTTAACTTATATAAACTCTTCCCTCAAAACTGAAATAATCTTCAGTCAGAATGTGTATTTGTTTGTGAACATTTCTAGTTGCATTTGTTTTATATATTTCTGTAATAAAGGATAAGGATTGTTTTGCCTTTAAAAAGAGCAGAAATCAACCATGTTGAAAACTGTAAGTCCATAAGCAGCAGAGAAAACAACTTCTCTGAGAGTCATCATTGAGGCACTGGAATACAGCATGGCCAGGAAGACAGGAAGAGAGGAAGTGGGTCACCTGGACACAGGAAGAATCTGACATGTGAGGTGACGCCCAGAGAGAAAGTAAAAAGAAAAACTAAAATGGAAAAAGAAAGCAGTATCTGGCTGTGCCTTCATCCACAACCAGACTCACTTACTGCACGAGAGGAGCTGTTGGAACCTGGGGAGGCACAGTCACAGTGACAGGTGGCAGCTGGGGGCTCCAGAGGCCTCTGCAGGGAGACCTGGCAGTGGAGGGGAGCAGTGGATGTGGAGGACTGCACTGGCTGCAGGCGAGTGCAGAGGACTCAGTCCTCCTGCTGGAGAGAGTGATTAGTTGGGGGCCACTTTGGGATGGACTGCATAAGCCGAGAACCAGAATGTCACTGGTGTCCTCCAGCAGCTCCCAGCTGGGCGCAGAAAGTGCTCGGACAGTGGCGACCAGATGAGTCTGGTCTCTGGGCAGGATGCTGAGGTTATCCTTACCCTGCCAAAAAGCAACTGCCAATTTGCAGGGATGGACTGGCCTGATCTGGGACTCTGTCCCCACAGGTTGTCTACTAGTGAAACCAGATAGAATCCTGGAAGAGAACTCTTTGTTTTTATTTTCTTTATTTGTTTTACTTTTGTTTTCTCTTTCTCCTTCATTTCGTTCCTAACTGCCTTGTGGGTGTGGTTCTGTTCTTCCTTTCATCTCTCCCATGTCTCTTTTCCTTCAGCCCTCTGCGCCAGTGTCCCCAAGTAGGTGTGACCTATCTTTGTCCTCCAGCCTTACTTATAATCTCTTTCTCTTCTTCTACTGCTCTATTATCTTCTTAATCCATTTTAAACTTTAGTCCTCGAGGGCAAAACTGATGCACACTTATATACGGCATGTAATTATCTGGTTTATTTTACATTTTGCTATATAATCACAAATCCAGTTCATATGGTTAAAAGTTGCAAATTAAGGGTTAGCTCACTTTGTTGTTTTCTAGGCTGAGTTTGATGCTATTGGTACAATGACAGCCAAAATTGACATGATTGTTTTAAACAGCTGTTTGTTCTGATAAGCTATGACTAAGGGTCACAGAGCATAGGTTAGCACAGTGCCAAACAACCAGGGACCCGCCAAACAAGCAACAACTTCTCATCTCCAACAAACTGAAGAGTAAGATCTTCCAACAGACTCAAAACCCAAAGACCAGCTACACTTGGAAGATGCCTTGGAGAAGTAATGATCAATCACCTAAGGTTCCTAAATACTACTGATAAAGCAACCCACCACAGGCGACTTACAAACACTACCCCAAGAATTAAACTAAAATAGAGAGAGAGAGAGAGAGAGAGAGAGAGAGAGAGAGAGAGAGAGAGACTAAAACGAGAAGACACTGAAGCACACTGCAACCCCAGACATCCAGTTCACCAAAGGCAGACCCACGGGGCAGTGCAGTAGCACAGTCCGAAAACCCCTCACCAGGTCTCTCTGAGGTTTACATGTTGAAGTGGCCTCGAGTAGAAAGAGTATATCTTCTTAAATTATCAGTATGGAGCAATTCAGCGTCATTGTAAAGGCAGCTTGGTAAAGAAAACCTTCCAAATGGCGGTTTGGAGTAGGGGTAACTCCCTCAGGCTCACAGTAACTTTAGAATGGGGTAAGAGCTTTCCTCAGTAAGAAACCAGCACAGAGTAAGGCAAGCCAGTATCATAGAAACTTGTGTTCTGTACCTAGGGCGCCTCAAGGCTCTTGCGCGGTGATGAAGATGTCCTTGTGTGGGGGTTGTGTAGGTCTCTGCAGAAACTCATTCAATGTCCAGGGATTGTTCCTTGGCCACTGTGGTGACGGATGACCTCATCCCTCTCTGAGAACAAGGGCAGTCCCTCCTCCACCAGCAAGGGTATGAGGGTCTGGTGGCTTTGGAGGGCATTGCCTTGCTAAGAGCCCTGGTCACCTGCATTGGAAGCACAGTGACATCCTTCTGTCACTGTGGATTACCTCGGTTTCCCTTAGCACTGCAGATTTCTTATGTCCATTAGGGCAAGCGTGACTTTACCTTGCTTCTTTTTAAATTTTTGTTTGTCTTCTATTTCTTCATGGTTATTGAAGACCAACTAAGTCCCATTGACCAATGACATCCCAGTGAGCCACATTAGATTTTCTGGAGCTTTCTTTTGTTTTTTAGAACTGACTGATTAAAAGCTTGTCCTACTGTCACAGAACAATCTGACTTTCCTTATGTTCCACGTCTGAAATAGTGTATTTATGGAGTGTTTTCTTAAAGCCAGAGCTGGAAAGCACCAGACTTTTATCAGAGCCTTGATTGATGAGCCATCAGCTAAAGTTTTCAGAGTCCTTGGAAAACTAATCCAGGTTCTCTTAGCATTGCTGAATACCCACACCTGGAAAAGGGACTTGTTGAGAAGACATTCAAACAGCATCAGGTGGGCTGGATGCTAACCCTGGGCTAATCCCCATCCCATTAGTGGGGACCCCCCAGAGCATTCCCTGATAGTTCTGAAGCGGTTTGGCCCTGGCCAAGGTGTGAGCTGATAGGGTTGAAGTTCTCGGTACATTGTCATTGAAACCTTATTAAGCCTTTCCCAGGCTAAACTTCCATAGGAGAATTTTACAGGGCATACTCTGGGTCTATACCCTGTCCAGCTTGGGATGTTCTCTGTAAAGCTGAAGTCCTTAGGGGCTAGCAGTATCTGGCCTTGCGTGAGCACCTATCCAGATCCTTTTGAATCTTTGGGTCTCCCACAATAAGCACAATCAACCTTCTGCAAAGGAACCCAGGGCTGCTGTGCTCTACTGGCTGGATGCCTCAAGCCAATTATAAAACCACCTGACATCACATTAGTCCAGTCTAAAGAGGGGCAGGATACACCCCAAGGTGAGCAGCCCCAAAGACCCTGATGATTTTCTTGTATTTTTGATAGATCAAGCCACAAAAAGTATATGTATCCGGTAACAAAGGAGAACTTCACAATACACAACCATAGATTACACGTCCTTTTAGAGAGGGCATAACGGTTACCACAGCAAAAAGAAAACCAAGTGAACTGGAGAGAGATGACTAACAAGGAGGGCGGCCCGGGTGGACAGAAGTACAGGCTGGCTTTGGCACTCGGGAGAAAACAGCTCAGCTGTGTCTTGCAGCTGCCACTGGTGCTTTGGAACCTTTCAAAATGCATCAGTGTTTTGTTTTTTTCTCTCTTCTTCACCATTTAAGTCTCAGTCTCCCTCAGTGGTTCAGCATTAGAAAAGTCAAAGAATTTGCATTTGTTATAGATGGGAGGAGGCAGGGACCAGAAAGGAACTGGAGGGAAAGAGAGGGAAGGAAAACAAACCTCTGAAAGGCACCCCTCGCTGTGAGTCCACAGGCTGCGCTGGGCCCCACAATATCTTTGTGCTGCCCAAGTGGCCACCTATGTGCACATGGCCCAAGGGATGCCGCAACTGCACCCCCAAAGAGAAGCAGTAGCATCAGGTGAACCAGGCCCAGGTCTTTCCGTCCCAAGTGAAACATCAAGAAAGCTGCTTAGGGGGCTGGGGATTTAGCTCAGTGGCATAAGCGCTGATCCCTGGTACTGATAAAAAGGAAAAAGACAAAAAAAAAAAAAAAAAAAAAAAAAGAAAGAAAGCTGCTTAGAGGACCCTGTCCAGGCTGAAGCGTCCCAAAGCCAGCTCCCTGGCACCCTTGCCGGCTACCTCAGATCGATCTTTACAGAGGCACAGGAAGCCATGGCTAATGAAGGCAAATCCCCATGTTGCAAGGACCAAAAGCAAATTATACCGGGCCGACGGCAAGAGCTGTGCCAGTCCTCACAAAGCCTGGACCTATTTGCTCCAATCTGGTCATCTCTGACCCCAGGAGTCTTCTCTGTGGCATCAACTAGTTGGGGTCTGTCCCATGTACCCACAAGTGCATCGCCCACCTGTGTAAAGGGGAAAAGAGGGGTCTCCTCCAGGATTCCCTTCCTTTTTGGCTGGGCTTCTTTCAGCTGTTGGCCATTGATATTCCCTGACTGGTTCACCAAATGATACCACAGGGTGGACCTGACACAAATTCCAGGCTGTGCACAGCAAATAATGAATTGGAAGATCCGTCCAGTGGTAAAAGAAAAAGCAGCTACATTTATTGAAAATAACAAAAAGTTGTAAGCTGGCCACGGTGCTGCACACCTGTAATTCCAGCACTCAGGAGGCTGAGGCAGGAGGTTTGCCTCAATTCTGAGGCCAGCCTGGGCTATATAGTGAGCTCAGGACCAGTCTGAACTATATAGCAGGAGCCTGTCTCAAAAAGAACCTAAAAACAGTTGAGGGCAGATCTGAGCCAAAAGAAACTAAAATTTTCAAACAGAAAAGCAGTGCTGGGAAGACAGGAAAATAAGCACGCTGATAAATCAGGCTTCTGGATTTCAACAGATGTGTAGCCCAGCCTGGGAGCCTCTCATTAGGTCTCTGGGGGAGACTGCCAGGTCTGAGTGGGAGTGCTGAGTCATCTGCAGGGGCTTCCGACACAGGGGCATGCGCCAGTTCATGCTGATTAAGTCACATAATGAGGTGCAGGGAAGGAGGCTCATGTGCGCGTGCTCTGGGGTAGACCTTTAGTGACTCTCTGAAGCTCTGTTGTTTTGTTTTTGAGTTTTCTCAGCTCAGTTGGCCCTGGGCTGTCACTCGAGTACAACTGGGTGGAGCTGAGTGGTTTCCAGCCCCAGCTGTGCCACCTGCGCCTCCCAGGCTGACTGCCCGCAGCTCTACCCTCTCCCCCTGCAGCTCAGCATGGCCTGACTGCCTGTCACCCAGACAGCTCACTCTCACCCACAGGACTGAGGAGACTGCCAGGTCTGTAATCTTATCTGCCTGTCTCCCGCTGAGACTTTTCGCCTCTCTGTGGGTTCTCTGTCTGCTTTCAGCCCTTTCTCTGAACCCTACAGCTGCTGTTAACATTTCCCAGCCCTGCGTAATCTGTATGTTATCAGCAGATGAAGTGGGTTGTGGGTTTGAGTGTCACAGACATTCGTAATTAAGATTGTGCGGCTGGGGGATTTAGCTCAGCATCGTAAGTGCCCGCCTTGCAAGTGTGTGGTTGTGAGTTCAATCCCCGGTACCAAAAAAAAAGATTGCCTGCTCAGCTCATGATTGTAAAGTGAACTGCAGAACACTCAGCAGGATGAGGCCAGCAAAACTAAAGTAGTTTGTGAATTAACTGCTATTCAGTAAATCCTGACACTGGAAAGATGTAAACCTGTATGTTCTGTGTTAATGGCACAACTCCAACGCAACAGCCTGGCAGTTCCTTACAAGGTTAGTCACAGGCTCAGCCTTTAACCCAGCAGTTGCCTGCCTGGGCCTAAGTCCGAGGGAGAGGAAAGGCGTGGGTACAAAAACCTGGCTGTGAATGCTCACAGCAGCGTCTATGTAACAGCTAAAAAATGGACACAACCTGCAGGCCCAGCAACTAATGAATGACCCAGTAAGAGGCATCTCATCCCCGCCCGCAACAGCACCTGCTGCTGGAAAGCAGTGGAGTACCTGAGGGTACTCTGCACGGGGCCACAGGACCTGCGGTAGTGAACCGAACCAGCACCAAGGCCACGTGTGTAGGATTCTACGTACAGGAAAGACTCAGATGAGGTGAACCACACAGATGCGAAGCAGACTGGAGGCAGTCTGTGAAAGGATTTTGCCCCACATGGGACACTGTGGCCCCACCCCTAGGAATTTTCCTGTGGGACGAAATGAATACCGATGGGCTACCTGTGCATCACTAATGCCCCTCAGGCTCCACCCTAAACCTAAGCTACATGCATGCCCCCACTCCACGTGTCCGACGGAGAGAATGCCAGCTCCCAAAGGGTCAGGGGGTCTCTCCCCACATTCTTAAAATAAAGGTCTCTTTTATTTCATACTTCTTATCTTTCAGCTGCACCAAAATCCTATCAGATGGTTCCCTGACCTGGAACGGCAGATGGGAGACTGCTGGTGAGTCCCCTGCCGTTCAGGACCGGACTGCGTACTGGATTAATTCCTCACTTCTCAACACTCAGGAGCTGCTAAACTTGTCGTTGCTGGTTTGCAAACACCACCAGTCTAATTCATTTACCACAGGTGAGCAACCACAGGAGATTACATGGTGCTGGGCCAGGCCCCATTCCCATTCCCTGGACTCAAGTGGCGCTCTCATGTCCTTAGACAGCCTTAAGGCAGAGCTTTTAAGCTCTAGAGTCCTTTTAGAGCCCTAGGCAGAGCCTTTAACTACAGGCAAAGCCTTTAAGCTCTCTTGGCAGAGCCGTTATGGTAATCCACGGGAACTCCACTCATGCCTCTGATGACGACCGAGAAACATGAGTTTTGAAACTAATTTTTCCGATTACCATTCGGTCTAAAAGGTTAAAAAAGGTGATGACCTGACCTGGTTAGGCCATGGTCTGTTGCCTCACCTGACTGTGACTCCGTGGGCCAGGCCACACCAGATTTTATCTTGAGGACCACTTCCTGTCCCCCCCAAAATCATACCTTATAGCTTATCACACTGATGACAAGTTTACAAAAACTATCTTTGGGTCTTTGTTTTGACAATGTGTCCTTTTCCTCTGCTCCTCCAGGATCCCACCCCCTCCCCACACTTAGGACAACCTTTCAAAGCTTTCTCAGTGTCCTCCTTTCCTCCTTGCCTCCCCTCCCCCTACCACGTGCCACCTTTTTTGTGCCCAATATTGGGAAAAATAGGGGCAAACTGATCTGGGCCCTCTTGCCCCATGTGACCCAGCTCCGCCCCCCTGCACACCACGCCCCACATGCCCTGCATGCCCCGCCCACTCTGCATACACTGCCCCCACCCTGAATGCTCCACCTGCCACACCCCGCCCACCCTGCAGGCCCCGCCCACTCTACTCTGCATGTACTGCCCCTCCACCCTGGGTGCTCCGCCCACCCTCCATGTTCTGCCCCGCCATGTGCCATGGGTGCTCCTGGCGCTGGTGAGCAGTCCCAGCCGCCCCTCCCCTCTCTGCCCAGTGCAAGCACCGCTCTGAGCTTAAACACAAACCAGGGGTGGCAGCTCAGTGGCTTGGACAATGAGACAATGGGATGCTATGGGAAAAAAAGGGGCCAATTCTTATTTCAAGGGAACTCTTAATTTATTTACAAAAGGGTTCACATCAGCCTTTTTTTACATTCTCAAACCATTTAATCAAGGTTTATTTGGGTTATAGATAAAAAAATGCCTCCACCTAGTTTGCCAGCTGGTTAAAATGTTGCTAAAACTAGTTAAATAAACCATGATAAAAAGACTTTATCAATAGATAAGACTTTAACTGATAAATGGGGAAGTGGCCACCTGGTAATTTTACCAGCCTTGTCAATTAAAGCCTTCAATAATCTCCATAACCTTATGTGAGATACATCAACTAAAGTTCATGTGACTAAGACAATTCATTGTTGCTGATCTGATGGTGTATTCATGCTTTCAAATATAAAATTGGGATCATTTCTGCTGACTTTTTCTTGCGGTCCAGCCATGACAAATGTTTTCTTTCAGATCCAGACATATGCTTAGAGATGTTTCACAAATATCTTTGGCGTTCAAATGTTAAAATGCTCATGGTTGCTAGCCATTTACTGTTCTATGTTAAGCTTACTGCCTATGTTGTACTGTACTTCTAGCTGTTTAACAACTAAAATTAAGAGGTAATTATAAATTCCTTTTGCTGGAAACCACTAGATCTTTTCCAGAAAAAAGGTTATATGATGCAAAACAACACTGAAGCAGAGGCCAGGCTTGAGCCTTTTCCCGCCTGTCCACCTTCCCTGGCTCCGCCCTCTACCGAGCCATAATTAACTATATTCAACTGACGTTAAATGACACTGTAGCTGATTTCTCTCCTAAATAAAGAGGTAAAATTAAACAGGCCATTTTCCAAAAATCAGATGGCATTAGACATTTTAACAGCATAGAGATACTTACATAAAGTTATAAATACCCTGTTGATTGTATTATTTGACTCCTGCATACTTACTTAATTCTACAGATACCTTCTACTGCAGACCAGATCCCAAGACAACAGGATAAACTTGGCCCTCAAACCCCACAGAGAGACCTTCTTAATATGGCTTTTCATGTTTTCAACAACAGAGATAAAAAAAAAATATCTTTTAGCAGTGACACTTGGAGTTCTGAGACAGGTAAAACAACACAAGGTGCTGTCTGAGGTCCCGCCCCCCTGCCCTGGACCATGCCTCCAATGCAGCAGAAGGACATTTGGCAAGAGAGTGTCCTATCCTGGCATTCCTTTGAGACCTTAACCCTGGCCTACTGGACTGTCCTAGCCACCAGAGAGTGGGTAAGCCATCCTAACTTCTAGCCCTCACAGGAAATGCCAACACTGCCATACTCATCACTGACAGAAACTTGCTGCTGAAGACTGATAGGGCTCAGGGCCTACAGTCCCCATTAAGGTGTCCTTCTCAGAGTCCCAAGTCCCACTAGAGGTCTCAAGTAAGACATTCTCTATACTTGTGGACATAGAGGCCATGTATGGGGTTCTTCCTGAGCTTTCGGGCCACTATATTAAGTCCTCAGTCTCTATAGGGGGTATTGATGGCCAACCTATGCAGCCTTTACAAACAGGGCCTATTTCGTGCAGATTCCAGATTGCTTCTTCTCTGGTCGATCCTTCAATTTTTCCTTGTGTACCCCAGTACCCCATGGCTTCCAAACATTTACAGGGACTTAAACCTATAATTAGTGCCTTTTAGACAATGGTTTTCTTAAACCTACCTATTCACCCTATAATACTTATATTTTCCTGGTACTCAAGCCTGATGAGTCCTATCCTCTAGTACAAGACCTTAAGATACTCAATAGTGCTGTTGTTACCCCAGTCCACCCAGTGGTGCCAAACCCTTATACCATGCTTTCTCATATCTTTCCTTCCACCACTCACTTTACAGTCCTAAATCTTAAAAATGCTTTTTATTTCTTTGTGTTTGTGCAGACTGACCCAGACACTCTAAAATCTCAACAGCTTACACCTATTATCTCTAGTAAAACCTCTCCTCAGGGATATATACCAACCCGTTCCTTTCTTATTCACCAATTTCTCAAAAACAACCCTGGTCAAGACTGACAGATAAATTTTATCTTCTCATCTTTGTTTATACTTTTTCAGGATACATAAAAGTCTTTCCCACGACCAGGGAGACTGCTGATATACTTACTAAAGTCCTGTTACAGCAAATCATCCCAAAGACTACAACCAAATTAAATACCTGGTCTTCTTAGCAACCTCAACAGTGGTCAGAGTTGCTAGACTGCCATCCTGGTTTCACATCACTCAGGCTAAGTGGTGCCCTCCCAGCCCTAGATCTAACCATCCTTTTGCCCACTCATCTCTACCTTACCAAGGCCTCACAGCCACAACTCTCAGGCTGTCATGTTTTGTTATCCAATTTGATTCCTGATTTCTTATCCTTTTTACAGCAAGACTCTCAACAGTATTTCCTAAAGGCTCCCACATCATGCATACCAGAGACAAGTCTTACCTACCTACCCTCTTAACTTTTACCCTTTCAGATGAAAAAATAATCACCTCTCATAACCCCACACTTATTTTTCAGAATTCTACCTCACTATGGCAATTATTCTATCTCAACATGGTCCTGATAAAATGACATACCCAAATCAAAGGCACCTTTCTTCCTGTCTCACCTGGGTCTTTAAATATGACAGTGCCATGCCTCCTCATAGCACCTTGTCTCTTTGTTTTGCCAGTCTAACATACAGGCATTCACCAGTGATAAAGTTGTCCTGGTTAAAACACCTGGCACCAGCTTCTACATGGGCATCAACTGTCATCCCATTGACACTCCTAAACCCCAGTACAGTGCCCCCTTTCAGCAGGAAGCAGTAAAAAAAATCTTCCCCCTTTTTCCTAATAATCAGAAGATGGGAATGAAAGGATTTTGCCCCAAATGGGATACGGTAGCCGGGGGGAGGCTGGGAGGTGGAACCAAGGGGCTCTATCTTGAGGTAACCTTTCTCACCCCTAGGCAATTCACCTGTGGTGCAAAATGAATACCAATGGGCTACCTGTGCATCACTAATGCCTCTTAGACACCATCCCAAACCTAAGCTACATGTATGCCCCCACACCACGGTTTGGTGGAGAGAATGCCAGACCCCAGAGGGTCAGGGGTCTCTCCCTATATTCTTAAAATAAAGGTCTCTTTTATTTCATACTTCTTTTTTTTTTTGTCTTTTTCTTTTTATCTGTACCAGGGATCAAACTCACAACCACACACTTGCAAGGGAGGTGCTTATGCCGCTGAGCTAAATCCCCAGCCCCACTTCTTATTTTTTTAGCCGTGCCAAAAATCCTATCAGATGGTTCCCTTCCGCACCAAAAATTCTATCAGTTTGAATGGCAGTGAGGCAGATGGGAGGACTGCAGAGTGATTTTTAAAGGAAACTGGGCTTCTTGTGGGTGATTAAAAGTGTTCTAGCCTGGCAAGGTGGCACACACCTGGATTCCCAGAGCTCTCAGAGGCTGAGGTGGGAAGATTACAAGTGTGAGCCTAGTGTAAAGAACTTACCAATATGGGGAGATTTTTCTTAAAAAAGGGGTAGGGATGTAACTCAATGTGATGAACCCTGGATTAAATCCATGGTTCTCAAAAAAAGTTTTAAAATTATGATGTTGCAGGCAGTCGAGTTAGTTAAAAATATTATACGCAGTGAGACAGGGCTAGGTCCTTAGTGGGGCCAGTGCAGATACCTGGCAACTGTGGGGGAGACAGACACCCCCTGCTGTGGGCCAGGCCTCAAGACAAAGGATCTACATCCTGGGGACTGATAGTCTAATTCTCTATCACCTGGAGCCACTATGCCATCCCCTAGGGATGGAAAGGTCACAACTCCAAGAATGCCCACTTCCTACTGACTTGCTTTCCCATTTGTCCCTAATATAATCAATTTTACCTGAACTGTGGGTCTTACTGGCTAACTATAGTTATGTTCCACCTCATGCCCATTTGCCTTGTGAATTTCCAGTATCTCCGCCACCCAAACGCATGGTTTTATTCTATAGAAGTCCCTGGAAAAGACAGAG